TTTCCAACTCATTTAGCAGTTTGAAAATATATACAAATGAGATGCATGCTTTGAATGCGTTTATCTCCATGCTTCAATATATACTATTCTTAACCTCTCACGCCCCTTTCAATTGATGATTAGGTTGATAACTACAGTTTAACTGTAGCATTGAGATTATGGTCTTGTCAGTCACTATCTTCAAAATATTGATTAAAAATTATAAAAAAATCATGTATATTAATAATGATATGCAATCAAAACATAGTAATAATATTTTATACACATTTTTAATTAATATTTTAAAGCTGTTAATTGCAAAAAATAATTCTAATTCATTAACTATTGTTATGATTTTAATACACTTTTTATTTTATACCTTTGCTTTTTATTAAAACTTTTTATTTTTATTTAACCTAAATTGGATTACCTCTTGGATAGGATATTAGTGTCTAGTTTTTATTTATTTCTAAATTTTAAGATTAATATAATTTTTTAAACTATACCTTTATTTAATATTTATGAATAACTACTTTAACTTATTACTATAGTTATATTTTATTTATCTCCTTTTAATTTATTAAATAATGGATTTATATAAAGTTATTAAACAATAAATAAATTTATTAGAATACAAATGAAAGTATTTTAATTAATATGTAATAAAATTACACATCAATTAAATAATTTTTATTTTATATACATAACCTAAATAATAAAAAAATAGGATGAAGGTAGCATAGAAAATTATTTTAACTAGATAATTTTAGTTAAATTAAATATTTTTATAATAATAACAAGTAAAATAAATTTTTTCTAAAAAATATTACATTAACAGTGAAGTTTGGATAGTTTATATGCTTAAAATATTAGTTAAATAAATAACTAATTTTAAAAATACTGTGAAACTATATTTATATCAACTTTAATAAAATGAAAAATAGCTTTTATGTTTACGATATTTAATTTTTTGAAGTGTGTTTAAAATATGTATTAAAAATAGGCATTCTTTTGTCTTTTAATTTTAAGGAAGATTTTGTTTTAGTCATTTAATTTTTTTATTCATTTTAGTTCTTGAATTCTGTTTTTTTTAATAGTTCTTTTTGTTAATTTTCTATTATATAACTTAACATAGATATCGTATGTAACATTGAGATAATCTTAATATTATTAATTAGTCATAATTAAAATTATTTATTTAAAAATTATTAAAAGAATGGTGGAGCTTGAGTGTGAACTCTAAAGTTTTAACAACATTATTATAGAGTTGTTCCTTTCCACTTTTCTCCTGTCATAAATGACAGTAATTCTTCTTCTTATTACTAAAGTTGAAGACATTTGATCATATGTCTCAAATTTTGATTTACTTTTAAACTTCAAATTTCATAATTTTAGTAAATTATAAGTTATTTGACTTTGTATATGAATTTTTTTTATAGTAATTTTTTTTCTTTCTCTTTAATTTGAGACAGAAAATAGAATATGATAAAAGTAGAATATTGGTTAAAAAATTTGTAAGATTAACAAATCTTTAAAACTTGTTCCCTCGTTTAATAATCAATCACAAAATACTATATGTAAGAGGTTTACAATGTCATTCATTTATTGAGATTTGAGGCATATATTATTCTTTGTTATTTCTTGTTTAGAGTTTGAACAAATGCTTTATTTTATTGTTGTTGAAGAGTGAAGCAGCAAACACGAAATTTTTTAAGATTAAAAAAAATTATCTCACAAATATGTATAAATCTTCATAACATAATTTCAAAAGTTCATACTCTAAATATCCTCAATCATTGAGAAAATAAATTTTGAAATATTAAATCTTCAATTGCTGAATCTGTGATTGCAAATGGTAAAGTGTTGTGGAGCATTTGTACTAACTTCACCAGCTCACTCTTATGAGCCTCTTCACAATTTTGTATGGTGCATAACTACTATTAATTCGTTGCAACTTGTACCATTTTTCATGGTAGAACACTTTGTTGTACCCTTTTACTAAGTTGATATCATCATATTCAAGCAAGAAAAATGATGAGGTAGAACAATCTTTCTACATGTAATAATAACTTTTCAATATAAAAATAGTAAGATTAGTTAATGATGTTAAGGCTACTTAAGTATCATATAAAATATTTTTTCTGTAAGAAAAAATAAGACTTTAAAGATTAAAATAAAAAAAATTAAATGACAAAAACAAAATCTATGATTAATAATAAGATTTTATTAATGTTAATTTTTAGAGTTGAAGATAAACTATTTATAATAGTAAAACTTTATTTTTAAAAAATATTTATGATATTTTTATAATTTCAATATATTAACTGTATCTTGAATTTATGAATGTGGAGTGAATTTATGAATCGGAGAATGCAAGTTTGACCAACAAAAAAGTAAACCCAATTAATTGATGCTGTGGTGCACCAATTAATTCACGCGCTGCTACACGCTTTAACAACACTCTCTTCGTTGAGTAGCGCGTGTCCGAATGCCGAATTTATTCCATTGACTCCACCAATAGCTTTTGGATCTTCCCGTTTAAGTCTGATTTTCTTCTAAGCAATGTTTAAGTATATTTTTTAAAAATATTTTTAGTATTTTTAATTAAAATTATTTTTCATTTTAGTAAAAGATAAATTTTTATATTGTTATAAATTATGAAAATCAACATTTAATTTTAATAAAAACAATATTAAGAGTACTTTATTGTAATCACAATCGTTAATCAATATCTCAGAAGTATAAAATATTTTAAATCACAACAGTAGCCAAACACGCAATATTTTATTTTGACCAATCCAACAAGCTCGCCTAATTCAGAATTGGGTTCGTTAAAGTGGATTTATTTTATATTTTTTATTGTAAATAACATGTATTTTTAGTGTATTAAAGTTTTGAGTATTTATTATGTTGGATGAGTTTTTTTAATTTTATTTGTCTAAATACTGTTGATGAGATAAATTTATGATTTTATCCGATAAAAAATTATATAAAAGTTTGTTAATATATATATATATATATAATATAATGTGTTAAACCTTTTTTTATTTTGTTCTTATTTTATATTTTCAAGAATGTAGAAGGGCGAAAGACTTCTCTCTTCCTCACTCTTTCTTTGATGAAAAATGATAATAGTATAGAGTTTTATATTTTTATAACTTAAATTTAAATAGAAATAGAATAAAAATAATAAAATAAGTAACATGATAAACAAATAATTCATTACAAAAATTTATTATGAGAAAATAGTAATATTTGTACTTTATATTTCTTGTTTTCTTTATTCTGCTTAGACAATTTATGTTTAGAGTTCATGATATTTTATTTTTATGAAATTAAATAAAAATATTATATATTTGTTAATATGTTTAACACATTAAACACATTTATTTATATAAGATATTAAAAAATAGTAATATAATATTATAAGACAACTGAATATTATTTAGATGTATGCTGTGGTACAAAATTTTTTTTATAGATACCGTAGCCAAAAAGTTATCAATAAAAAAGAGACTTGTGAAAAGTTAAAAAAAATATTATTATGTATAATTTATTTAAAATTATATTGTTTATTATATGTTTCTATTATTATTATTATATATATTATATATTAATTTTTTTTTATTTTTAATAATTTTTTAGTTTCAAATAAAATATAATTTATATTTAAGTAATTTTTATTTATTATAAATAAAAAATTATAACATAATATATTAATATAATAATTAAATATTAATAATAGAATTAAGAATATAAAAAATATATTAATAAAATATTTTTTAAAATTTTAATTTATTTAATTTTAATTATGTTTTAATTCTATTTAAAAATTTAAATACTTTTAACTTATTCAAATGTAATAAATATAATAATTTATTATTAAATATATTTATTATTTAAATACGTGTCTAAATATTATTTGTTAAATTTTTTTATTTACAATATCCTAAAATTTTTTAAAGGTAACACAGAATTTACGTATTATTTATTAACATTTATCTTTGGCATGCCGAAACTTTTTTAAGAGTTGAAGTTGGAGATTTAACTACTTGTAAGTAGACTCTTTAAATTCCAACTCTTATATATGTTTCAAATTATACTAATTTTTTTACAAATACAGATCTAATATAAAAATTACAATTAATAACGTTACAAAACGATACAGATTCACATTCATTTAAACATTAATTTAAATATTATAATAAAAAATCAATAATTAAAACTTAAACTCATGATGAGGTTTTAATTCAAAATATTAGTTCATTAAATAATGTTTTTTATGATTAAAGTATTATGTTGAACTTGTTAATCTATTCATGTAAGATTTATAAGAGTCTCAACTTATCGTTAAAAATCAAGTAGAATTTCCACATTTATATATTTGATTAAGTGTAAATTTAATTTTATATTTTTTTAAACTTTATTCTTGTTAAATTAAAATGCATAATTTATACTTAAACGACGTATACGATATAAAAAATATAAAAATTTCATTCTAATGTCAAATCTTACCCAAAAGTTGAGACACAATAACATTTTACCATATTTTTGCATATGAAATGTACAGCAAAAGTTTTTACAAACAAATTTAAAAATGGCAAGATTTCAACGAGTTCGATGACAAGTTGCAAGCGTGTGTTAGGGCTCTCATAGGGGTTCTAACTTGTGTACAAAGAGCATGCAGAAGAGTTAGTACTTAAACATTTGAGCAAAAAAGGAACACATATTTTTTAGTAAATTAACTAAATGAAGAATTGATGAGAAGAGAAAAGAAAATACAGATAGAGGGGGAAATTAGCTTACGCAGGGTAACGTTCCAAAAGCTAGGAACAGACAGAAACATAGGAAACTGCTCCGACATTTATTGCGAGCATTGTGCATGTTGAGGATACAAGTTACGCACACTTTTGAACATCATAATAAATTAATAATAACGCCGTTCTCAATCTCGTTCTACTATTATATTACATGCAATTAATAGTCCATTTATTCTCCTACTTAGGTTTGTTTCATTCTGATTTCATTTGGTTTTTGTTGGGTCTGAGGAATGGGGAAGAAATCGTCTTATTCGTCGTCCACATCCACATTTCGGGGATGGCGCTATTTGCAACCTCGTTATTACGTGAAGAGGCCAAATCGACTCGCATTGGTCATTGTTGTTTGCATCTGTCTTACATGGCTTTTCTACGACCGCCAATCACTCAATAGAGGCCACCAGGTATATGTGCATGTTCACAATTCACATTTTGTAAACTTGTTTTGTTTAATAGGCCAATCTTTGCTTTGATTTTAGTAATTCCAACTTTCTTCTGCAGTATTTTAATTGGTTGTATTTATACATTTGTTTTATGTCTTGAAATATTAAGCTAATCTTTTTTGCTTCCATTTTTTGGTCAGGAGGATATTTTGAGACTACAAAAAGAGGTTACCCGCTTGCAAAATACAGTACGATGTGCAAATTTTGTTTTTTTTCAAAGGGTTGTATTTTTGTATTTTTTTTTCGGCCTTTTAGTGGTATTATTGGCTTAGTTTGAGTTATTTCAAATTGCAGCTGGAAGATATTAGAGGCCGTATGAGAGGCTCAGTAGAAAGTATCATAAACTATGAAAAAGCCAATGACTTTACCAAGGGTATTTCTGATGATGATGATGATCCTATTAGCATACAGCGAAGAGATAGAGTAAAAGATGCTATGCTTCATGCATGGTCGTCTTATGAAAAGTATGCATGGGGCAAGGATGAACTTAAGGTTTTCCATAATCTTTTTAACTATTTAGTTCATCTTGATATGATGAGTATTGTGTTTGTTGCTTCCCCCTTCCTTTTCAATTAAGGCATTTGAATTATCAGAGATGTCAGTAACTCACTGCAAAGAAACAAGTTCATCAACTAGCCTCGCATTGCACTAAAGCTTAATCTGATTTTGATGTCATATACATCATTGCTCTTTTGTCTGACAAGATGGTCAGAATGAGCCCAACAATGTAATTTGAGAGTACGCCTTATTCTTTTCACACTTGTTGTTACTACAACTATGACTAATTGATATTTTAACTTGTGAATCAAATTCTAATCACAAATCTGATGGGCTTTTGCCCAACCTGACATTGTCCCACGCTCCAAAATGACACTCAACTCATCCCACAAGAAAATATTAGAACCTGTATCCTAACTGCCTCATCCTGCATATATGAATATTCTGAATTAAATTTATACAGTAGTCAATTATAATCTTAAAATTAATCCATCATATCATATAAATTAGGACATTTTAATGATAGTTGTTAAATCAATGAAGACTAATTATGTTCTGTTAAAGGATATTACTTACTATAAATAAACATCAACTTCGTTACCATCTTAGATAAAGCATGACACTTATTTATCCGCACGACAACGCTATTCCACACCCTCCACCCACCAGTAGTAGGGCTGGTTCTTAATCCACCCTGTGCTGAGTAGGCTCAGATTGGGTAGAGCTTCTGTTTGGGTTAGATTGCCGAGCCTGAAAAAACTTGCTCCATAAGGAGGTGGAAACAATCCTTTTGGCTAAGCCACTGAAGCTCGCAAAAGAAATATTAACACACCCATACTGAGATGAGGAACTCACACAGCTTTTGATCCATCAAGGGATTTGTGAATTTTTACATTGCTAGACACAATCACACGTTCACATTCTCTCTGCAACTGAGATTTGTGTAAAGTGCACATGAAAAGCAATAACTAAATGTATCGGTGCATGTTCACTTTTAAATCTAGTTTTTGTTTATGCTATATCATCCAGAGTTTGGAAATGGTATACCTCATGTAGATATTTGCTATTTTTCATTCGTGTTTTGGCTTCATTCCCTCCGTGGTAAAATCTTAATTATGCTACTAATCAGTTTGCTATTCATCTCACAGCCACGATCAATGATTGGTGTTGACAATTTTGGCGGTCTAGGGGCAACTTTAGTGGATTCACTTGACACATTATTTATAATGGGTCTTGATGCCCAGTTCAAAAGAGCTAGAGAGTGAGTTGTATTTTATTTTTAATACAGTTGATTATGCAGTTTGCTATGTATGCTTCAAAATATGTGTTTCTATTCTTGCTTTCTTTTTACACTTCTTTTCAACTCTCCTATCGTATGGGTTAAATTGGAAAAACAAAAAGGAGAAATCAGAAGAGGATTTCCCCCATTTTCTTGTTCTAGGCAATATTTATAATCACTCTTTTTGTGTGCATATGGATGTGTATAACATTCTGTTATTTTTACAGGGTTCTAGTTTCTGTATTGGAGGATTGGTTACATACAAAGCATCTAATGTAATACATTTTGCAGATGGATTGCAAAATCATTGTATTTTAACAAGAACACTGAAGTCAGTGTGTTCGAGACAACCATAAGGTTGAAATAGAAGGTTCAATTTTATTTTTTTTTAAATGCTTTCTGATAGTTGTTGTAACTTTGCTGGTAACAGTTGACTTTTCTTTCTAGTTCATTTTTTCTCATCTATCTATTATTTTGGTTATATTCAGAGTTCTCGGTGGCCTTCTCAGTGCTTACGATCTTTCTGGTGACAAAGTTTTCCTTGACAAAGCTAGAGATCTTGCAGATAAACTGTTGCCTGCTTGGGATACACCTTCAGGAATCCCCTATAACAGAATTAACTTGGCATATGGCAGTACAAATAACCCACCATGGACACGGGTATGCTTGGGCTTTACTATGTCATTTCTTGTCTAAAGCTAATGTCTTACATAAAGAAGTTCTGATTTGTATCAGTCTATCAGAAATTATTCTTATTACTTGCAATATTCTCTCACTAGGGATTTAAAACATGGCAACTAGGATTTTCTTCAATCTTTATTAAACAGTTAGATCATATCTATTTGTAAATTGTAATATTAGTGTTTGTTGATTGATCAATGGGACCATCAGTAAAGATATAAGAAGACTGTTTTATTTGGTGGCATTAGTTGGAGATTCTTTGGTTGCATCAAAATTTTATAAAAATTTGCCCGTTTTGGTATTGAAAGTTTCCTGTCTCATTACTGTAGGTTCAAGGTAATGGTATCCTGATTCTCATACTACATTTGTTATGTTGGAATGGATACAATTGTATGTGATGATGTCGTTCTTAGCAATGATTTTTGAAAGTTTTCTGGCAACCCCAATTTTAGCTAGATTCGTCTTATGATCTTAGCTTATGTAAGCTGTATTTTTTTGGTATTAATTTATGCTTGTAAGAACTTATCCAAGAAAGGATATCAGTTGTTAAAGGGAATTACAAATCCAAAATTTGAAAAAGAAAATTGGTTTTTCTACAAAATGTCAATCTTGGTAAAATTATATTTTCTGCCTGCATGATGATCTGAGTGCTTAGCTATTTGTCTACCAAGCAATAAAGAGCTATCTATCACTTTCCTATAGTCCTTTTTGTCCTCCTCTCGACATGATGCATTGTTTGTTTATGAAATGTTTTGCATAGAGCGTGTTGACTGTAGAGTGACTTATATGCATCTTCTTAAATAAATGAATGTTAGATTTATCTAGAACACAGTGCGAACATTTTTGTTTTTATAGAACAATTTTACAAGATTCTATTGTAATTTCTTGACATTCTCTGAATATTGTTGGCTAGAGTTGGTAAGGCTATTAATAAAGATTGAAAGGATTGATAAGGTGATACAAAATACTTTGCACGTTAGCTTAACCACAGCTATTTCTGTTAGGTTCTGCAGACTGTCTTTTGGTTTTGGCAAAACAAGATGTTTATGTGTTTTCTTTCAAATGTTTATCTGATTTTACTGTATTAAAAATATCAATGAACATTTGAGACTATTTGCATCTGTTTGTTACCTCTAGTTTATTGCTGGAGTATTGAATAAGGAAAGTAGGAATCTTTTCCTTGCCATAGCTGGTCTTATGTTCTTAATTCATTGTTTTCTGTTACTAGGGAAAAAGTATTCTTGCAGATTCTGGTTCAGAACAGCTTGAATTTATTGCTCTCTCTCAAAGGACAAATGATCCCAAGTACCAGCAAAAAGTAATCTCTTGCTACTTTATATGTTTCCTGAATATTGTTTTTTGGTAACCAATAATTGTCAACTTTATAAGTCTCTTCTTTAAGGTGAAATAGTTCCTAACATTCTTGTTTTTCACATCCCTACACACCTATTTTGAGTATTATGGTTTTGCCTTCCAATAATTCAGGCAGAGAAGGTCATCAAGGAGCTTTATAGAAGTTTTCCTGAGGATGGGTTGCTTCCCATATATCTTAATCCACTTACTGGAACTAAATCAAATGGAGCAATTACATTTGGTGCTATGGGTGACAGGTAACGATGCTGATAACATCTTGCAACATCTTTGTTGTGTAATCTTTTATAAATTTTAGGCTAAGTTGGCTAACTATATCTTGAAATAAAATTCAGTAGTAAACTTCATGCAAAATTTTGTTGAGAATTTTGATGAAACTTGCAGAATTTAGTAGATACAAATGTGTTGTTGATGCTTTAGAACTTGTGACATTGGAACAGTTTGATGATAAACTGGGTTTAGTAGAGGGACTTAAACAATCTACGTCAGTTGCCTTTATTCATGTGCTATGGTTATTGGGAATACTGAATAAATTGGAGTTATTGATGCCTATTTTTACAGAGGGTGCATGGTGACTTTTATTATGCTAATGTGTGTTGTAGTGATGGTTCACCAATAATCAGAGATGTTTCCATGCATGCATAAACTTGACATATTTTAAAGGAATAACATTGATGAACTATACTACAATTGATTGTTCGGCTCAACTAATTGTTGTCTGGGTAGTATCAGTGTGACAATATGTTGAAAGTAAATGAACTGGTGGGTTTAACCTTCACTAGGCTGTAGATTGCTTTACATTTTCCAGTCTCTTCATTTCTCACATACTTAGCTAGGCTGCCAATTTATGTGTTGCAGCTTCTATGAGTATCTACTCAAGGCCTGGATACAGGGGAACAAGACTGAAGTAGTCACATTTTACAGGTAATGAACTTGGGATGTCCATTGCCCTTTGAAAATCAAGCATATTTTGCTGTATTTGTAAGAAGTTATTGATCCAACTGTCTTCTGTCACAAATCATGTTCTTGACTCTGCCTCTCACTGATGCACCAAGGGCATATTTTGTTGCCATAACTTGTGAAAGAAGCCAAAGTATATAAAATGGACTCGCATAGATCCTAAACCAAAATTGCAAATTTGGGACTATTGTCATTATTTAGAGAAATTAATTTTGCTATTCTCTAAGCTCTCCCCAGTTTTTTTTCTACAGAGCACTTGACATATGACAACGTGACTTTCTTCTATGCTCTTGTTGCACATGTCTTCTATTCAGTCTGATATGCTACAATCATCCAGCAAGCCCATTAAGCCTGCTTTTTGACCCCTATATCTTTAAATGTGTGTACAAATGGTGCATTCAGGGAAATGTGGGAGAAATCAATGAAAGGTCTTCAAAGCTTGATTAAAAAGTCAACGCCCTCATCTTTTTCATACATATCTGAGAAGCTTGGAAATGGACTCTTTGACAAGGTGCTATTTGGAAAGGAAATTTATTCAGGATTAGCTTAGTATGGCAAGAAAAAAAAAAATCTGATCTTGTCTCTTTTTCAGATGGATGAATTAGCATGTTTTGTTCCTGGAATGCTAGCTCTGGGTTCTTCTGGCTATGGCCCGGGAGAAGCTAACAAATTTCTGTCTCTTGCAGAAGAGGTAATTATTTAGAAGTATTTCTGTCAGGTCATTGCTCAATTTGACTATAAACCTTGGGAAGTTCAAATTTCTCAGGCTGCGATGACCTCATCTAGGGGGAATGGAAAGAAAAAAGTAAATGCAATAAAAAGTAAACCCTTGCAAAAGAGAACTGCTTCTGAAAGGCTCCTGAATTTTACTAAGTGACATAGTATTTTTCTAGAAACATAAACACCAAAGGATCTGTTAAAGTAACATGCAGTTCGTGTATATCATGTAAATGCATTTAGTATCATAGGAATTAGTGCTCATTATTCAAACAGGATAAATACTTCTAAAAGCTTAAGCTATTAGGTGGATGCATGGGAATGATTTTATATTTCTAAAACCTACAATTGGCCATCACTTGCTGAATTATTGGACCACAGACATTGCTTGTAATATTTTATCTGCGATTTATTGTTGACTGATTACTTATCCAGCCAAGAAACTAACTTACTGAAGATCTGGTCCCTTTCCCATTTGAATTTAAGAGTGCTTTGTTCAATTAAGCTGGTTGAGATTGGAACTAGATTATAGAACTTGAATTTTTTTGGTTGTTTGGGGATTGGAGGGGGAGGGAAAAGAAAGAGGTTAATTATTGAAATAAATATTTTTTTAGAGTGGGCTGTGCACTTGATCTTTTATTTATAACTTGATTAAAATCAATCAGTGGAGTAATGAAGAGTTAATAAGTTGCTAAATTATAACCTAATCACTTGCTAGGCAATACACTTACAGCTATCAAATTCTAATATCAGAACATAAATGCCAATGTTCTGACAATAAGGAAATAACTTTTACATGTTTAAGCTTGTGTGGAATTTTTCAGATTGCTGTTTGTAATGTCATACAATTCTTCATTTGTTTTATCACACTTCCATTATTCTTTTGGCTAGTAATATGTGCAGGAATTTGGTTATTGTTACATTTTTTTGTTTTATCATCATATCCATGCCAACTTCCAAATGGAAAACTTTGTTGTTGTTGTATCTTGAAATTTTTTTGTGAAGAATGCCTGGCAGCATAGGTGTTGACAACTATTTCTCCTATCCCATTCTTTCTAAACATCAGAAATGAATAATTCTGAAAGTGGTGTTACAACTTTTCTTGCCTTTTGAAAGTGGTGTTACCTAGGAGTTGGAACCATCACTCACTCAGAACAGATTAAAGAACTAGGTCATATCCTGTAGGCAGGTTGAAACATCTCTATCTGACCAAACCACACAGCCTCCAAAGTTTTAGATTTGATTGAGTAATATTAATTCTTTCCTGAAGAAGAAAAATTTTCGTTAATAACAAGTACTGACTAATTTGTGTCAGAAAATCATTGGTTTCAGTTGTGATTTTTCTTTCAAACCTATACCGATTTCCACTGCATCCTGTTTTGCAGCTTGCATGGACATGTTACAATTTCTACCAATCAACACCCACTAAATTGGCAGGGGAGAACTATTACTTCCGCAACGGAGAGGTTTTAATCTTTCAATATCATATTTTTCTCCAAATTGCTAAGATGTTATGTGCTAAGGTTAAGAAATTTGTAGGATATGACTGTTGGTACCTCGTGGAATATCCAAAGGCCTGAAACAATTGAGTCACTGTTCTACCTGTGGCGATTCACTGGAAACAAAACATACCAAGAATGGGGTTGGAATATTTTCCAAGCATTTGAAAAGAACTCTCGGATTGAAACAGGATATGTTGGACTCAAAGATGTAAGAAATTCTTAAGCCCATTGAGTATTTTCGCCAAAATAATTTGCTCTCTTAGCCCTGGAAAAGCTATGCATGCATTGCCAAGTATTCTTGTTTTGTTGTGAAGAAATAATTGTTGCCAAAATGTCCTAATAATCTTCACAAGAGGAAAACCCTGAAGAAATTGGTGGTATGAGATCATCACAAGTAATGTATGTTCTATCAAGAATTGATTGGACTCATAGCTTTCTCTTTTATTTATTTATTTATTTATGAGGAATATTTTCTTCTGCATTATAAAGAAAGTTATTATCCAATAAGAATTTGCCTGTTTTATACATTGTGCACTACAAAACATAACTAAACTATGGTAAATACCCAGGTGAATAGTGGTGCCAAAGATAATATGATGCAGAGCTTCTTCCTTGCAGAAACGCTTAAGTACCTTTATCTCTTGTTTTCACCTCCATCAGTCATCTCTCTTGATGAATGGGTGTTCAACACGGAGGCCCACCCTTTAAGAGTTGTGACTAGAATGACTGATCAAGAGGAAATGAGTGTGGACCAAGAAGAGAAATTTCCACATCATTTGCATGGTAGAAAGGAAGGCCGAATGGATTATAAGTAGGTAAGAATTGTTGCTTAAGGATTATGCTAGGCAAACCCTGACGGATAGTTCCCTACTCTTGAGTTTCAACTTGGTGCTGTGTGACAGCATTTTGTCATTGTCTTTGCATGAGAATGATCCATCATTTTGATTGATGATTGTGCAGGGGACTACTTGTCCTGCTTTTTTTTCAACATACAGTTGAGTTGTCTGTCACCTCCAGTTGTGATGTGGTGAAGAATACTAGGAAGCTTTGTTTCTTGGTGTTGTAGTAGGGTAAATGCAAGTGTAAATGCCTATGTAGAAATAGAGGCCACCCTACTTAATTTTTAATAATTTTTTACATGTCTGTAAATACTTATATCAGTTGACCATTTTCAGGAATATGGTGAAATTGTGAGATGTAAGCTATTCAGTTTTGAAATTTTCAGATTTTGTGAAATTTTCAGATTTTGTGGTTCTTCCAATTCAAGATTGGGTGTGGTTGAGTTCTACCTTGGGTTAAAACTTCCCGATATTAATGCTCAATAGATGTAACTTAGATTGTTGAGCAGCACTGCTGCCAATAAGAATGATAATTCTTACAAGTCCTTTTGACGATATTTTTTTGCTGTGCATGATCCATGATGCTTGTTCTTGTGGTTATACCAAGTCTGCTGTGTATCTGTGATTTGCTATTTAGATACGAATTGTATACCGTCAAAAGTCCTGTAAGTTTATAGCCCACCCCAACAAGGTTGAGTGAGATTAACTTGTGGCTGATGTAAATAAATGAGATGAATAAAGAGAAATGGAATCTAGACATGAATATCGACTTGGTTTTTCTATTTATTACTAGAACATCGAAGACTTGGTTATCTTATATATAGAGATGTTTGAAAATGCGAAAATATAAAATTGCTGTACTAGAGTTTCTTTTTGGTCAAATATGATTTGATTTCAGCCAGGAAAACAACCTGGCCTAACAACAGTAGGCCGGGCCCAAACAAAGCAGAGTAGAGTTTCAAAGTGTTATAGCTAACGAGATGAGCTGCAGAGTAGAGTGTTTTTGTTTTCCTACATGTGAAAATGTAAATGATTCAAATAATAGGCTGGTCCATGAAGTAAACTGTCAACCATATTATGGTATGAATACCAAGTCCAAATTGATGGTAAACCTCCATAAGAGTCCCAGTGCTTATCATTACTGCAATCTCACCTAAAATGTAAGAACTGCTACGTACGTACCAATTGAAACAGGCACTTCATACTGATTTCTTTATTTATTTTTGGAGTTGAGGATGACTAAATATTAAATTACAATGTACTCTGATGTTATGTTAGAAAATTAGGGCCTAACCACTTCCAAAGGCTAAGTCGTAAGGTAAATATTGCCTTAATCATTAAGTTGTATTTTGGTTATATTTATAATTGATGTGAGACTTACGTTTAGAATCAGTAATAATTAATATCCCTTAAATGTATACGACACTGTGTTAGACCTGTTAAGCAGTATAGAGTTGGCAAACTCCAAAACTAAACCACGGAATATTCCATTGCTCTCACTGTCAAAAGTTCGAGAAAGTGTTGGCACAAAAGATAAGAACAAAAAAATGAGAGATTTAGAAGCTCAAGTAAAGAGACATTCCTACCCAAAAAGCATAAACAAAATTGAAATAAAAGTAACCCATGCATCCTTACCAACTCAGCTGCAATAATGACAGTAAGAGTGGAAGTGGAGTCTTTTTATTAAAGGGGAAAAAGCTTAAGAAGAACTATAATGACAGAAAAGGATCACTCATCTTATAGTTTCTTAAAATTTCTATGAAAAAATGAAGGTAGACAGAATGATATTAAGCATATTTAATTCTTCACTAAAGAATGTGCATTCTATAGGTGACGAGAGTAGCAAAAAGTGTGAAAGTAGAATCTAGTACTATCTCTTGAGAGAAGTGATGGTTTTTGCAGTGGCAAAGAGAATCCTTGTTTGGGGAGAACTTGAAAAGGTGAGCCGTGATAGAAAGAGAGAGAAAGAAGAGGGCTTGTGTCAGCGATATAGCAAGCGTTTTATTCAAACTTGAAAGTAACTTGTTTGTTTGTTGTAACATGAAATAATATAATTTTTTTATGGGCACTAAGCTTTGGCTTCATTCCCTTTGGCGTTTTCCCATGCCCCCTAAAGTCATACCTTATTCAGTTCTTTGCTCTTAACTCTTACTCTATATTATTATACAAAACCTGACCTTGCATGCATTCTTTGGGCTATAAATAAACACTCAATTCTATGAGACCAAAACACTTTCCCTTCTTCTGTCCCCTTGGTGGAAATTCATTGGTTTTGTCCATTTATGCTTATTGCTTGCGCATGTAAGATAGATAGACAGAGAGAGAACAAAGTGAAGCTGGTTGCTTGAGCATTAAAGATACCAAAATAAAGATACGAGAAAAACTTTTCTCGATTTGATCCACTATCCAATGATTTAAATACAGAGATCAATGTTAATTACTAGATAAAGTGGGATCTAAAAAAAGGTGTAAAAGGTAGGTGAAGCTTTTTGACCATAATAGTGGTGTGTAGTGTGTACAGTAGCTACTTTTTATGCTTAATTTTGTTACTGTTAAGCTTTTGCCTCAACATTACTATGTTGCGTACATCAAAGAGCTGTGAGTTGGTCAGGCCCATAACGACTTGATTCCCCTTTTTCTATTTTCATTTTAAGGCTAACCGCGCTTCAAGTTGTCCTCTATGTATGATACTCTTCTTCAATTTTTCTAATTACTACATTCGTAAGCAAACTTGTAAAATAGTAATAAAAAGATAATGATATTATTATAATGGGTAAAAGAATCAAAATAACTATAGGGTATTTCAAAATCTGGCCATCTTAACGAGTGACCAGATTGGACTTCAAAATAACAGTAACTAAATTCCAAGGTGCAATGAATATGTCTTTTCAAGCTTTGGCATTTCCTCCTCAAGATAAGAAGAACCGCATGCCTTGTCATAGACCGGGTCAGTGACTCTTTGCATTACACATTGGGAAGACCAATATCATATACCTTGTTTTATAAGAAAAAAAAAGTTCAAGGTTTTAAACGTTTAAAACTATAACTATACCCATATTTTAGTTTCTAGTGATTTTTTTCATCTACATCACGACGTTTGTTGTTAATTCATTATTGAAGAATACGAAAATGTTTTTAATGAAAAGTATTTATAACTTCATAGAGACATGTATTTCTAAACTTTTATTATTATTATTATTACTATTATTATTATTATTATCATCTCTGGAAGGCAAGGTAGTATTTTTCATGGTCCAAATAAATACATAAAGCTGAAAGCAGCGGCATGATTGAGTTGGAATGTGGACAAAAAGGAAAGACAGTTTGAAAACAACGTCAACTCTCAATTGTTGTCAATGTCACGCCCTAACTGTCTCAGAATTGTATGGGACAGGTTTCAGGGTTTGCTTCAGTGACATGAAATAATTCAAGACAACAATGCGTACCCTTCATTGCTTACATATTCTTATTCTCTTCTGCTGTATCGATTATATTGAACTGAAATGAATAATACACGGAATCTTTCAGGGATTTCATTCCCTCCACACATTTCTCTAGCATTGTATTCCTCTGCATGCCCTTCTTTCCTTTCACATTTTTGGATTGAGATGAAAGAAAGTTTGAAATGCTACTCTTCGTGATGGATGCAATTCGCTTTGGAAACTATGATTTCGTATATATTGTCCTTATTGTACTTGTACATTGGAGTCATAAATCTTTTTGGCAAGTGTGATCAAATTTGTGTTTCGAATTAGAGGGTTTATGACTGATACATCTTTATTAACGTCATGAAAGCATGTAATTTCTGTAACATGCGGGAAAGTGACAGAAGGAACAAACTATACTTCACCTCTTTCGGCTAAGGGTTAACTAGCCTGAATTGAAAGTGACTAGACTTTATTTTCATGAAATTAATAACTTAATGTTGAATTTCCCTAACCCTAGCTCATTAGAGGCTGCCACAAGTAGTCCCTGATTAACCAAATCCTGATTTAATATTAAGGATGATAAAGCTAAAACTCCACAGTATCAATATATAATAATTTTTTGTATTACGTAGTGTTTAATCACATGGTATAAAACATTATATCATTTAAGATAATAATATTTCATGTTTGGTGAGGAGTTATACAGTATTATATAATAAAAATGTCAATTTTATAAAAATTATCATTTACTTAAAATATATAATGTTTATCTAAATTTGTTAAATTTCAATAAAAAATGAAGGGCAACTTTTCAATATAAAAAATTTGTCACACACAGATAAAAAGATTTTGTTAATTGGTATAGTATTTCTTAAATGGAAATCGAATTGCTAACATATAGATATTGAGGACTTATATTAACAATATATTTTTGGTACACAAAGTTTTAGGTGATATAATCGCGTGGTATATATATCATATTGATTTATTTTATCATTTATAATATCATGTTTTAATCGTGCTCTGAGCTAGTGGGGTGTGCGTGTTCAAGGGAGACGTACGTTGGCCCCTCAAAATGCTTTAGGCTAGTTCAAGATCATGATTAATCATTAGACATTTATCTTTCATTATGTTGTGTGATAATATTATTTTTCTAAAAGGAGTTATTAATGAATGAAGGACAATGATTGGAAATAATATAATAATTATATTAACCTGGCTAAATTATTAGAATTATATATCAACCTAGTCATTTCCTTTCTCCTACTTCTATCACATTTTAGTTGTAGCTTTATCATATCGTGCCTGATTTTTAGATTTTATTTTTCTTTCTTCGCAAGAACACTGATGTTTTATTTTCTTACCTCGTGATACAAAATTTTGGTAAAACACTGAAAGTTTCACTTATATCCTTATTTTTTTACGTTATTTTTATGACTATTTGTAAACTTAATTTTAATATCATTTTACAAAATTTTGCAAAGTTTCACTTATACAAAATTTTATCATTTTACGTTTTTTTTACTCTGGAAAGAAGTGTGGATAAAACTAACAAAGTTTTCTACTTATCATATTAAATGTGTGTTTGAAAATTTGTTAAAAAAACTTAAAATATAAACTTAATACAAAACTTATAATTATAACAACGTTAACATGAATACAAACATGCACCACATTTTTTTTAATTTGATTAAAATATCATCACATGCCAATGTCCTTGAAATTTTAGGAAGCTGACAGACACGTTGCCACGAGATCCAAAGCTGTAAATGGTAATCTTATTTATGCTCATGCTCAAGGGCATGTTTAATTACTATAAAGGTGGGTAAAAGGAGGCTAATGTGCAGTGTGTAGATGAATAGAATATATATGCAAGAAGATCAAAGTAGTAAGTGAGAGGTCTATTCATCAACCAACATTCTGTAAACAAAAAATGCATTATTTCTGAAGTGCCAACCAAGTCTGTCAAACCTCACGGTTTTTTTGAAAGGTCTATTTTCAGCCCAACAGAGACACACATTCAGAGTTTGTTTGTTCTGAGTAGTTGCTGACCTATTTTGTTACCTTGTATAGATATTGATAGCATAGCTAGGCTTTGTTTTGTTGT